CGGGGTGGTGTGTCGGACTCGGACCGACTAAAACCACACGGTGTGCCACTCTGCGCCTGTAATAGGAGGGATCCGGGAACAGCTGTTATTAAGACATCCGGACCCAACTTACCAACTCGCCTAACACAACCAAAAAAATATTTGATAATTCACCTCAATTCATTCTCTTCAACTCAATTAACTCTGATTGTTTTCCACAAATTATGATACATTTTACTAATGCGTGCTGATCTGCTTGTAAAACAAGTTTTTTTTTGTTTCATATTATCAGAGTAACATTATTATGCTTTCTTGCCTTAGATTGATCATATTACGTTCTTAACCTATTTTGAATCAAAAATGTATGTATTCAAACCGTAAATGCTACCTTAATTAAGGCCCGTATTTTAAAAGGTTCAGTCGTGAATCTAGTCTTAAAACTAATTTTAAGTAGAGATTTTATTATTGAAAGTCACTTAAAACGAGATTCACCGATCCATACTCAAGTGAGTGATAGCTTATTTTAGAACGATGTTTATGTCAAAATCCTTACTCAGGTATAGATTTTGAAAGAGGTGGTCTGGATGGATTTTAATATTTCTTAGGGAGGATAGACGCTTAAGTTTTGATCTGAACTTAAAACTAATTTCAGATAATCAGAGTTCATATAAAATACGGCAATAAAAAGGGACTAGATAGAAAATAAAAACGCTTCGAATATAACAACGTAGTTGCAGGTTAACTTATAGCTACAAATCAATAATTATCACTTCCTTTTCGTGTAAAGTTATAATTAAATTGTGATTTAAAAATTAAATATGATATTTAAAAAAAAAAAAACTACTCCCGCATTAGGAATATATCCTGTGTCACGGAGGACTTTACAAACACACATGAAACGGACACAAAGAACACCCAGACTCAGAACAACTATTCGTGGATCACACAAAATGTCGTCCTACGTGGAGATCGGACCAACAAAACGCGGCGAAGTAGTAAGCGGCGTGGCGACCGCTTAAACCACTACGCCATCCGTGCAGTCTCAGTCTTCAATGAACTTTAAATTTTAAAAGAATAGGTCGATCGGTGAAACGCCTGCACTTCTTCTTGTGAGATCTTCAATCCTGTTATCTTACAAAATGTACCAAAGAATGCCTAAGAACTTTCAGTAGAATATTTTATAAGTACAACGTGTCATTGAAATTTACATTTACATTACATAACAGTTTTTATTTATTTTGGAGTAGTATGTTGGGACCACTAATAAAAATCAATTTATATCCTGGGAAAGTACAGTCAACAAAAAATTGAGGAGTTCATCATCTGCCTACCCTTATACCAATTTTATTTGAGGTCAGCGCAGTAAGTATGATTCTTGCATTCTATTCTATCATGCGTCATCTCACTGTTCACTCCCTTCCTAGCCACATCCTCACTCACACAGTCCATCCACCTTTTCTTTGGTCTTCCTCTTCTCTTGTACAGTTCAACTCCCAAACCTAAAACTTTCTTCGCCACATTTTCCTTATCCCTCCGCATGACATGTCCATACCAAGATAACCTATTACTTCTTAATTTTTCATCCAGTGGCGCTACTTTCAGAACTTACTTACTTACTCCCTTATATAGATAGATAGATAGATAGAAAACTCTTTATTTGCACACTAAATTACAGAGTTACAAGAAAGGAACACAGCGATCAAATATCGAGTGTACAAAGGGCGGCCTTATTGCTAAATGCAATTTCTTCCAGGCAACCTTAGGATGGATCAAAAGTTGCAGAGAGACAGTAGTAGTTGAATATCTTTGTGAAACTACTATTAGTTTATCATTATCTACTATACACATTACATATACTAGACATATTATATTATCTACAAACATTTACAATTTTTATACTTACATCTACAATGCATATCACAATAAATAAACCTACATTTTAATAAGTACCTACATACTATACCAGCAAATATACATATACACATACATATATAAATACGCATTCTTAAATGAATAAACATATAGAAAGAGAAACAGTTTCGTTACACCCTCAAGCGTGATGGACTCAATTAAGGTGAATAAAAGTCCTGTACCATTTTCTTAAATCTGTTTAATGTTTGCGCCTGCCTGATGTTAAGCGGCAGTGCATTCCACAAGCGCACAGCTTCAACAGTGAAGGATTGATCATAAAATTTGGTGGAATGCAGTGGCATCTCCAGTTGTAAACTTACGGATGACCGCAGACATTTTTCGTGTGTGTCATTAAGGAACTTGAATCGTTCTTTGAGGTAGAAAGGGGTTTTGGGATTAAACAAAATGTTGTAAAGGAAAATGAGGATATGAGTATTCCGGCGAGAGCGAATTGGAAGCCACTTGAGCATTTGACGGAATTCAGAGACGTGATCGTATTTTCGTAAACCAAATACGAATCGTATACACATATTTTGAAGTCGCTCAAGCTTATCGAGTTGTGCTTCAGTGAGATTCAGATAGCTGACATCGGCATAGTCGAGAATTGGGAGGAGAAGTGCTTGTGCAAGCGCAACCCTAGTTGCAGTTGGAAGGAATTTGCGTAGTCTTCGAAGAGAACCGGCTGAAGCAAATATCCTGCGACTTACCTCTTGCATCTGTGAACCCCATGATAAAGTGTTGTCTATGTAGATCCCTAAATTTTTTACAGTGGTGCTTATCTCAAGAGTTGTGCCACCGAACTGAATTATATATATATACTCACTCCTAACCTTGTCCATCCGAGTCACACCACACATCCATCTCAGCATTCGCATTTTGGCTACGTTCAGGCGTCTCTCATCCGTTCTCTTAATGGGCAAACTTTCAGAACCATACAGGAGGGCAATTCTGATGAAAATTCTATAAATTTGTCCTTTCAGTGTTAAGGGGAAACTGGGGACACAAATTGTTCCCTGTACCTGCCGCGACTTCATCCATCCCGTATTGATTCGATGCTGTACAGTTAGATCAATCTCACCATCACATTGTAAGAGGGAGCCGAGGTACTTGAAATTGGAGCAGACTGTTATCGCTATCCCGTCCAGTGAAATAGTTTCAGGACTGGAAAGACCACCGTAATCGCACAACATGTACTTTTTGGTTCTGCTGATTTTCAAGACAACATTCTCCAGCCTTTGTTGCCATTTTTCCAGTCTGCTCTGGACCTCACCCCCGTCTTCACCGACCAACACAATGTCATCTGCAAATAGCATGCACCAAGGTGCCTCCACCTCTATGTCCTATGTCAGAGCATCCATTATCAACAGGAAGAAGTATGAGCTCAGAGCCGATCCCTGGTGTAAGCCTACAGAGACACTGAATTGATCAGTGTTTTCCGTGACCGACCCTACATGAGTGCTGGACTCACTGTACATAACACGAATCATACATACTTAACAGGCACTCTTTCTTCTTTCAAAGCCCACAACAAAACCTCTAATGCTAAATAACTTTATGTTAGCAGAAAAGTTATAAATAATCATATTCAACAAATAAACTCTGTAACTTAACGCGAAATAGCGTTTTTCATTGATAAGTAAGTCTTAACTTCTCTCAACAAAATATAAATCATGCAAAACGTGACGTAATTCATCCCTGTGTAATGTACAACAACGATTAAATAACTTTTACATTGGCAGAAAAGTTTTAATTAACAATATTTAGAAAATAAACATACGCAGCTAACAAAAATCCTGAATTTCAATGAAAAACCGGCTGTGACTCCCTTGCAGAAATGGATTGCTTCCTAATTTTGTATTTTGTACTTTTACGTTGGCAGAAAAAATATAATTAACAAAATTTTATGAGAAAACTACGTAACTAACAAAAATACTGAATTTCGTTTGATTATTTATGTTTTTCTTAATCTTAAAGGACGTATGGTATAGTAATTTGAAGCAGGAAAAATGACAGTTTGTGACTTCGTAGCGGCCATCGGGGTGGGAGTTCTCTCGCTCAGTAACATGATTGCGGCCATGGTGCGGAGCGAGAGTGCGTGGAACTCCGCCGTCTCCTTCTGCGAGCAAGTTATGCTTGCGATGAAGATGGCGGAGCGGTACTGGGAGAGGTTTAGTACTCTCCCGACCCGCCAGGCACGGGCAGGGGTCAGGTACCACAGACGACTCAGGCGCCGGAAGTCGCAGAACGACCTCCGTCCTCCATAAATGCAGGCCTGGGGGTGACAGGTGAGGCCATCTGTGTCACCCTAGCAGAACCAGGCCGGGGTGGCGGTGAGATGCGCTGCAGAGCGCGCGCGCCCTTTTGGGAGCACATAGGGTACATGGGGGTTCCCACACAGGAGGGGGTCATCTACCCGCCGTAGATGGCCTGAGGTACGTAGGGGCACCAGGGATTCCTTTCTAGGGTACACCTGGTCCCCTAGCTACTGGTACCCGAGACGGCGTGCGGTTTTTAGTCGGTTCGAGTCGAACATAGCAACCGGTGGGTGGTATCCGAGGGGATTTCCGCATAGAAAAAGGGACAACAAGTTTATTTCTATTTCTCGTATTTATAGAATGTACATCACTTTTTTCGAAAAGCTATCTTTGTTTTTATAAAAAATATCATTATCAGTTATATATTGACATGCCACTGTCATTATGTTTATTTCTTAAAATTTCTGCCTCAATGAACAACATCATCATCATCATCAACAGCCTTTAATAGTCCACTGCTGGACATAAGCCTCTCCTTAGAAAGGAGGTTTTGGTCTACTATGCAAATCGGCAATGAACAACGATTGCCTAAATTATAAATTGGTCGAATCGCTCTCTTTTGCAATACAAAAAGTAGTAAGTCCATCATTATTGTATTGAGATGAATCTGTAGAGAGTAAAAAAAATATATACGTAAATAAATAAAAAATAAACTTTAAGTATTTGACATTTCACGATCCTTCATGAGCTTTCACAATTCAGGAATAATATATTATTATTATAGATTTTGACGAATATGAAATGTTTTGTCACACGATTCTGCACATTCTTGATTATTTTATTTCTTTGTTACAGATTTGAATTAGTCGATAGAGGACCTTTCCAAAGATGGCAACTATTTATGATTGGTACAGCGATCTCATGAATAACAAAAGTGGTAAGAATTTATTTGTTTTAATTTGTATTTATTTTGTAGTGCAGCTGAACTTAATAGTTAGTGTGTCGGCAATGTCAGAAATGGATCAATACAAGTAGATGCGAGAAGCCCAAAATCGATCTAAGTGGCGTGCAATGGGAGAGGCCTATGTCCAGCAGTCGACTGCGACAGGCTGATGATGATGATGATGAAGTAGGTGTTGGCTACGTGTCACTTGTACTAGGCATGGAATAATTCAGAGATTACTTGTATTGTACAGTATTGTACTATTATTATATTATTTTACAAATCCAGTAAAAGTAAAACTGACCGCTCCTAACCTTATAATCACATAGCTCACATAACTAACTAACACTAGTGGTGTGGAGAGAAACAGAGCAGCCCACGTAGAGGCGTTCCTAAATGCATGAACATACAGAAATGGACTAATAGTAATATTGAGAAATAGTAAGATGACTGGCATGTTCAGTTAAAAGTACTTCTGACTGAACAGAAGTTATAACTATTATTATTTTTTACTTGCACTGCCTATTGTCAAATTTTCAGTTCAGCCAAAAGTACTTCTGACTGAACAGAAGTTATAACTATTATTATTTTTTACTATCACTGCCAATTGCCAAATTTTTCAACAGAAACATCTTTTTTACATGAACTCGTTTACTTATTTAGACAAATATATAATTAATACAAATAATACATTTGAAATTTTCTATATCGTTTTCATACTTGACCTTTTGGATTCGAAGGTTTTCACGTACTGATTTTTATATTGTAAGAGAGCTTTTACCTTGGGTAAACCACGTGATATATGATTATCATTACATCTATCTTGCCATTATTTCAATGTCTATATTAATGCAACACTTATTGTTTCCAAGCAAACTATACTCGAAGAGTATTGGGGGTAGGTGTAGGTGTGCTCAAAATTAGTATCACTTATTATTTCATCACCTGGACACGCAAAGATTTTTACGCGTGTCCACATATTGCTACTTAAATTAAATCAGTTTTATAATTGCAGCTGGCAGCTGGACACCCAGTTTTTTTGCAAAAAAATGTAAGGTTAATAATCGCCACTAAACGACCCATCGCTAAACACGGATTATTTTTTATATCATTGTTAAATTATTCACCATTTGTGAATTTATAAACTTTATATTTTTGACACTGATAGCCTTCGAAAGTTGATATCATAGAGATATCGACTATCGGCTTGTCTATTAAACACTGAAGATGCATTAACATGTAACTACTATCTTATCAAAACGTGGCCACATGACAATTCCGATGCAAACACATACAACTGACATCGCACATAATGGCATCGTACATCGCACTAAAAAGGTCTACGGACGCATTGAATGCCGTAGTAGCCAAAAAATTAAATACGAAAATCAAATATAAATGGTATAGTTTCTGGGCCTCAATTCTGCTATTTTATGTTTACGCCAAGCCACTGTCATACCACTGACACTCTATTGAGATGCCATGGAGTGGCCATTGGCATCGGTATAAATATTTATTTATTTTATAAAATAATATCTATACTAATATTATAAAGCTGAAGAGTTTGTTTGTTTGTTTGAACGCGCTAATCTCAGGAACTACTGGTCCGATTTGAAAAATTCTTTCAGTGTTAGATAGCCCATTTATCGAGGAAGGCTATAGGCTATATATCATCACGCTAAGACCAATAGGAGCGGAGCACCAATGAAGAATGTTTAAAAAACGGAGATAATTTATTACTATTGAGAGACGCAGACGAAGTTGCGCGGGTCAGCTAGTATAAAATAAAAATAAATAAATCATTTATTCAAAAAAACGTAGTAATAAAATAATATATAAAATAAAAATAAACAAATCATTTATTAGAAAAAACATAATATATTTTCAAATTATAAGGAAATGATTTATTTATTTTTCCAAATATGGCAATCTTTTTGATATCACCACTGATGAGCCACTGCCATTCCATCGCCACTGTAAAGACACTGAGTTAGTGTAGACTACCGATATTTATACCAATACCAATGGCCACTCGATGGCATCTCAATAGCGTGTCAGTGGTATGACAGAGGCTTGGCGTAAACATAAAATAGCAGAATTGAGGCCCTGGTCGCGATCAAAACAAGAAGAAATTAGCATTGGTCAATGTTATTAATAAGTATGCTCTATTGATGATTATTTTGATATTTTATTTTAATATGTTATGACACCAATAGCTATTCAAGGTTGAAGTTTCGACACCGCTCTCGCACAAACTTTACTGCAACTACATTTAGTAAACAAGCAAGATTTGCAAGATTATTGTATAGGAGTGTGTTTTGGGGTAGTGGTCGCCTTCCCCCACGGTGACCACCGTTGCATTGAATGGTTGCCATTAATTGACTCATCAACATTTGTACTAAGGCTCCAATTAGTGCAACTTTATTAAAATACAATTTTTTACCACCTTTTTATTAACGGTACTTAACAATAATAATCACCTAAATATCATTAAGCGTTACATTTTATAACTTTTTTAACAAAGCATAGATATCGACTACTATAATAAAAAAACGTATTATATCCGATAACAACAAAACGGCTAAGAACAGCTGTAGCAGTAAGTAAATTCTACTCGTAGTATTTCAGGTGATATTTCAGATAAAGGATTGATCTTAACTTGAGATTAGACTTGCAACGAATAGTATATTCGGCAGTATACCGAATACCGAATATTCGGCGAGGCCCCTGACCGAATAGCCGAATATTAGGCAAAAGTATTCGGCTGGATTTTAGCGCCAAAAACTTGTACAGACGTGAATTAAATTATGTACCTGTTTTATGTACCAATGACTACTTAATAAATGATTATAAAAGAAATGAGAACCTTACTTTTTTTTTTGATTTTGAATTTGATTCCCACAATAATTCAAATACATAGAATCCTCCATTTTTCCTATTCAGAAGATGATTATGTACCTGTGTTATGCACCAATGACTACTTAAATGATTATAACAGAAATGAAAATATGAATATATACGTAATCAATCGATTTTCATTTTTCATTTTTTTCTCAATGACAAAATATATTATTTAAGTATTCGGTATTCGGCCGAATAATATGTAGATATTCGGTATTCGGCCGAATATAATAAAAGCAGCCGAATAGGCCGAATACCGAATAGTAACCGAATATTCGTTGCAAGTCTACTTGAGATTCCATTAATAAGTTATTAACTATAAACGGAATATTTACCATGTTTATTTTCGCAGTTATCAAGTAAGTTTATCCGAGATCTTGCAACAGTGCCAAAATATACAGCTATTATAATAAAAGGACGTAATCAATTATATTTGTCTTCATATCATCATGTAATTTATTTTTGTTGTTATATATTTGTTTTATTTTAAAATTTGAATATTATATTTTATATATTATATTATATTATATTAATAGAATTTGAAAAGGTTTTTCAATCAAAAAAGGAAGGCAGGCTTTTCATGACATCGCTTTGTTAATTAATTCAGTGAACGGGCCGATTATTACTTGACTGTATCTACCCTGTTTTTGCCAAAAAAAAAAAACGCGTGTGTCCAGTCTCTTGTATCGAGTTGGTGATGAACCCAGAGACTTGATTATCGTTACATGTATTAAATCACTTTTAGGGAACTAAAATGTTAATTTAATTATTGGTAAATTTTTAAATAGTTTTCCTAACACCTACTTACTACCTTCATTCCACAATAACCAAACCTGGTATTAGGAGTGTCTGCAAATTTCATAGAATATTTAAGAGAAAATTTTCCTGCTTAATTAAATAGGTTATTTTAATAGGTTTCTTTTTTTAAGTATTGTTGAAACTTTTATAATTTACGTTTCCAATTTAATGTAAAGGTGTATTGGAATTTGTATATGCACATATCTTACGGCGGGTATAAGACATGACAAGACTGTTGCATTTAGCTAAGTCTAAGAGTTTGCTCAATACGTTACATAAGAACCGCGGAACAATTCACACACAGATGTAGCCCCACTCTACTTTAACGTTGCCTTCTCCGGCAGAAGTTATGTCAACTATTTTAACGGCCTCGAAACCCATCATTCTCCATTACTGAGATATAAACATAAAGAATAACTATATTAAGAAAATTAACTGATATACATTTATTTTGTAAGAACTGTTACTAGTTTTTTAAATATTATATGTATTTAGTTGGATGGATGCAGGCCACTTCCTACAATTTTCTTGAGATTGATTTAGTCTCAAGCAGTGGACGTCATATCGCTCAAACTGTAATTATGTCTCTGAAGTTTTGTTGAAAAAATACTCACTAAACCTAAATTCTTTATTGATCACGCTTCTTTATATTTTGTAATAGTTATTTAATAATTGATACAGAAGTTATATTTGTTTTTATACACGAATTGTCTTTACCGTGACTACGTTATGTAAAAAAAATGTGCTATTTTAGTAAAGATTCTTCGGTTATTTATGCATATGCGATGTCCATAATATCCTAATATTATACACGTATTAAGCATAAATATTCTTTATCTAAAGTCGAGGTCGTGACTATTCATTTTTAGGACCGATAAAATTCTACAAAATAAAATTAATAAAAACTGATGGTTTGAGTGTCATAGTTATTTCAACTGAAAAATCATTCTCAATTCGCTTGTATTTTTTTTATTTATTAATACCTTACCTCAGAACTCGGTAATTCCGGAACCGATTTGAATTATAATTTTTATTTTGAACAGGACCAAACAGTAAGTATACTTACCTTACGCGTATTGTTTTATACCAAAGTCTATTTAAACAGACTACTTCTTAACTACTCATTCAATATTTCTGAAAAAAAAAATCTATTAATTATTTTTGTTGAAATAGTTCTTACATCGTTCTTTGAAATTCTAAAATATGTAATTATTTATTTTCTAAGAAAAAACTTCACTAAAATTTGATATCAAAAGACCGGCAAAAGTACCATAACAGGCGCGTTGAATCTCCGA